ATCACAATGAATCCCCCTGTACAATGAATATATCCTAATAAAAATGGAAAAAAAAGAAAGTTAGGATGTTGGGTACAGAGTGAGAGAAATGGTAGATTTGGATTGGATACCTGTGAATACACCTATTTATACATATATAGCTATAAATCAGGGTTCCTAGACCTCAGCATTATTGAAATTTTGGATCAGATGTTTTGTCATTGCTGGGGGATGTTTCATACTGTGTGAAATTAAGAACATCCCTGGGCTTTACCACTAGATGTATAGGATGATCCTTCCCAACCCAAGTTGAGGCCATTGAAAATTTCTCTAGAGAGTTCCAAACGTCTCCAAGAAGGCAAAAATTATCCATAAGCAAGAATCACTGCCACAGATGTGACAGTAACTCTGTTGTTTCTATCCTTTTTGTAGTATGGAAAAAAATGAGCCCTAGGTGGAGACAGTAAAAAGGTGGAGTGGCCCTGAGAGGGGTGGGGAGTCACTATATTTGTGCAGGTGTATGATTTTGAGACAAAACCATCTACCTTTGAAAACTTCCAGTGCCTACAATAGCATCTTCCCTCTAAGCTGAGCTGATTTAGTGTCTGTAGAATTCAACCAGACTGTTCAAGGGATATGTATAACACATCATAGACTTATACGAGATAGATAAAAGAAACCTCTCGTAATTACTTTAAGTGGGATAAGGAAGGGATTAGGGGAGGGATGATGGGGGTAATTTGAGTAATGTACATTATAAGTCTAATCAGAAATGTCAGTATGAATCCCCCCATATAACAAATGTATCCTAATGAAATAAAAAAAATGAGAAAATGTGAAAAAATATTTAATTACATATTATAATTTACAAGCTATATGTGGAGATAAGGAAACATTCAGTGCAGAAAGGTTGTGGATTCTTTGAGTTAATTTAGTAGCAAAAATATATAAATACACATTTAATATGAGTGTATTATGTATGTATTACATATTATATATAATACAGTATGTATACTTGTGGTACTGGAGTTCAAACTCAGGGTTTCACACTTGTTAGGCAGGCACTCCATCGCCTGAGTCACACCTCCGGCCCTAAAACTGTACATTTTTTTCAGAAGAGGGCATCCAGGTAGATAGATTTGTGGTCTTGATTTTTGGGTTAAATGTGGTATTAAAACTCCAGGGATAAGGAATCAGCATTTATTAGAAAGACCATGACACTGAGGTCCCTGATTTTGTTCTTCTATCCCTCCACATCCTATACGAAGGGATGTGATCTCCCTTTCTAAGCTTGCTTTAAGAGTCAGTCATTTTCAGTTTGTAAATATTTTCTTAAATGGAAATTCATAGTTTGAATGAGTACTTCTATGTGAATATAAGTGCAAAAGAAAGCAACAGAACTAGAAATTTTTCCCTTTATGTTATTCCAACAGGACTTTGCTATACGAAGACTCTTATTGGTAGCTACATACTCTCTGGAGTATTTCTCCTCAAGGAGAGAGGGGAAAAACCAGGCAAAACGTGTTTCTCTGTTCGGCATAGCACTTCCTTTCATTAGGCTCTATATCTTTCCTAACGTCTTGAAGCAGGTATCTGTACGATCACTTCTCACTAATGACATCTACCTGAATCAATGCAAGGATCATCAGTCATGATAAAGGTCTAAGGAATCCTGATAACCAATATTAAGCTCTAAGATTTATCTGTATTTTGGGTGCAAATTAATTTTGCAATCCTTTAGTAATAGGAATGCAAAGATGGAGTTCATTAAAAATGCATATTTCCCATGAAATCTTTACATCCTAGTCACTTTTAGTGTACTAAAAGGATATTCTGTATCATGTAAGTGAATTGATCACACATCTTTCCAATTGAGGTCATAGTTAATTATATATATTCTCTATAGATACATGTAGAAGAGGTCCAAACACTAATTGCAGGTATTTTCTTGCAGAATAACAATAGTTTAATTAAAGCTACAAAGGTAAAGTTTTAAGAATAGTTAAGGAAATATAAGAAGAACCAATGCTTGTTTTATATTTTTGGAATATAGTACAAGTTTTAGGGGCAAAAACCAGTCAACATACCAACCAACCAACCACACACACACACACACACACACACACACACACACACACACAGAACTTCCTGAATCCTGGATGTGTTTTGGGTTTCAGTAAACTTTTTCAATGTGGCCTCAATAGATCTTCATTAATGCCTTCAATTTGTATATATTCTTTGACCTTCTCATTCACCTTAACATTCTCTATGTAAAATGTGGATTTAATGTGGAAGGTGCAGTCTTTACTCAAGAATATCATATTTTAGTTTCCTTCCCTTGCCCTATCCCTCCTGTGCACAGTTTCCCTTTAGTGTGTGACCCATGTCCAATAATATTACTGCATTTGTTTTAAGTCTGTAATCCACATATGAGGGAGAACATGCGATTTTGGTGGGGAGGTAGCCCAAACAATGTATGCATATGTTAAAAAAAAAGGTGTACGCTCTATATAAGAATGAATGTAGAATTTTTAAACTTGCCAAAATCACCATAAGAAGGGGACTAAGGTAGAAAGAAAAAAATGGATATGAAAAAATTTGGGTTATTTTATACACACACACACACACACACACACTCTGACACACACATGTGTATATGGACATGTCACAAGGAAACTCTGCATTGCTGTCTTAAACAAACAAAAATGTCATTTTTTTCTTTTACAAAATCAGAGAACAGGAGGGTGGAACAGGTCTTGCCTGGGGGAGGAAGGTTGGTAGCATTGGGAGTAGGGAGGATGTGGGGAAAGGATATGGGAGGGTTAATATTGTGCAAATACTGTGTACACATGTATATAAATGGTAAAATGATACCTGTTGAAACCATTCCAGGTATGGGAGGAAGAGGGAAAAAGGAGAATGTTGAAGGTTTGAATTCAACTATTCCTACCCACCACAACAATAAAAAAATTCATATTTTAATTAATGAATTAAGACAAATTTTGCAAAACTTGAGAAGTCTATGACTTTTGTCTACCTATGGAAGCCAAGAGGAGGGTCATCTAATCCAGACCATAGCAATGGGGAAAGGCTTCCTGTAGGAAGTGATTCCAGATCTGAGTTTTGTGGATAAATGGGAGTATTTTTTAGCTTAGACTTGAGGATGAGAAGAAAAATATTAGTATCAGAGCTGGGAGCTAGTGGTTCACTACTGTAATCCTAGCTACTCAGGAGGCAGAGATCAGGAGGATCATGGTTCAAAGCCAACCCTGTGCAAATAGTTTGTGAGACCCTATCTACAAAAAGCCCATCACAAAAAAAGTGCTGGTGGAGTGGCTCAAGGTGAAGGCCTTGAGTTCAAACCCCAGTACTGCAAAAAAAGAGAAAAAAACCCATTAATATCACAAGAAATGATACTCATTTTCCTCTCTTATATGTTGAAAAGGTAAGTGTGATAGGAATACTGAGGAAAAAGAAAGCACATTATATTTCAAAATCACAGTGAACATTTTTGTGGAAAATTGCGAACGTCTAATAAATAGGCAATTTGGGGAATTTTGAATGAGTAGAGTGAAATGCATATATAACCAGGGAACAAAATTCATTCTTGTGCTACTTTATGTCATGGACATGTTAGGAGTTGGCGTATTTTTGCTATTAGCATCCAAAAATAATCTACTCTTCTTCAACTTCTGATTTAAATGTGCAAGTAACTTTAAGGAAAAACTGGTGTATTTTTTTCTCACAGATTTTTAATTTTTAAAATTTTTTTATTTATTCATTTATTCATATGTGCATACATTGTTTGGGCCATTTCTCCCTCCTGCTCCCTACCTCCTCCCTCTCCCCCTCTCCCTCTTCGCTTCCAGGCAGAACCTGTTCTGCCTTTTTCTTCAATTTTGTTGAAGAGAAGACATAAGCAATAATAAGAAAGACAAAGCATTTTTGCTAGTTGAGATAAGGAAAGCTATACAGAGAGATTCCTAGCATTGCTTCCATGCACATGTATATTACAACCCAAATTGATTCATCTCTACCAGACCTCTTCACTACTTCCCGGTCACCTTCCCATAGTGACCTCTGTTGTTTTAAGGTTACTGTATTAGCTCCTCTGTAGTGGGGACATCAAACACTTTAAACTCAAGAATGCATTTGTATCTCATCATGCGAAACTCTGATAAAAGTCTACTTTGGAGTAAGGAGCTTTGTTTCTAGTCTAAGTGAAATTTTTTTTCACTTCTATTCTATAAAGCTATTTGTTTCACTTGCATATTTAGCTACAGAAAATGAGAGGGAAAAGAAATGCAGTTCTGCCTCTCCAGCATCCCAGTTTGCCTGGTTCATGGAGGAGTGTAGGAAGTACTTACAGCCCTTGTTGCCAAGGGCCTCTTCTTGGGTCACCCCTGGAGTAGCTTCAGTGTTAAAAAAAAGAAAGAAGCACTTACAGAAAATACACTTCCTTCACATCTGTAAGTAATCAGTGGACATTCTTGGCTTTAAATCTGTTTCTTGAGCTCTGGTAGAAGTTGGAGGGTTGTGGAAAGTTCAGGGTGGGTGTGACAGTCCCTGCAAAAAATCGCAATGATTCACGAGAGGAAGCAGGACTATTTCCTTCCCTGGGGATTGACAGAGACATTTTGAAAAAGAGAAGAGAAAGAATTTTCCCAAAACCTTGGTATAGAACATATGTCCTAGGTGATAAGAAGCTTTAAAAATGGGTATCAATTTTACATTTGGGAACATGATTTGATAGAGGCAACTGTAGCAGAGCAAGTTAAAATGATGTCCTTTAAATAAAGTCAGAGTCTCCAAAATAATGAGTCTATTTTAGGCAAACCTTTATTGATTGTCAACAGTGACTGGCACATAATAGCTGTTTAAATATTTGTTGGCTAAGTCAGGGAATGAATGGTATGCTCTGGCAGTTACTGACAGTATATAAAGGTCCCAGGGAAACAGAGGACATCTGCACTCCAGAAACACCCTCTTGCAACCCACACAAATTCTCTCTTCTTGACAACATGTGTTGCAATTACTACGGCAACTCCTGTGGCTACGGCTGTGGCTACAGCTCTGGCTACGGCTGTAGATACGGAAGTGGCTATGGCTGTGGCTATGGCTGTGGTTATGGAAGTGGTTATGGCTGTGGTTATGGAAGTGGCTATGGCTGTGGTTATGGCTGTGGTTATGGAAGTGGTTATGGCTGTGGTTATGGAAGTGGCTATGGCTGTGGTTATGGCTGTGGTTATGGAAGTGGTTATGGCTGTGGTTATGGAAGTGGCTATGGCTGTGGTTATGGCTGTGGCTACGGATACCGCTCCTGTTGTGGCTCCCGGCCATTTTGCTACAGAAGATGTTATTCTTGTTGCTAAAACATCACTATCGGAGGACCATTTGCTTCTAAATGGACACTTCTAAAGATAATGCCTCTTCAAGGATTCACACCCCTGAATGTCTGTATTCAAGAAATTGTATCTTTGTGGTTTTAGGATCTGTGACATCAGCTTACTATTTTAGTCTTTACTACCTTGATTTTTAACTCTCTGTTATGATTATGTTGATGATCATAGCATCTACAGTTGGGGAAGTTGCTTATTTTCAATAAAAATGGTTCTTTGCTTCTGACAAGTGTTTGTGTACTTTCCTGTGAATTACTCTTCTTGAGGTGTTTTGGCTCTCTTAGAAATTAGGCTAACACTGTGTTGGCTGAACTCTGGTACTACCTGGATATAATACACACAGGTCTTCTTATTTTTCTATGATTTTCATGCACCACATGCTCAGGCCTTCACACACTCAAGCTCAAATCACAGATATTTCAGAAGTATCCTCTGGAATGACTTAAGTGTTAGGTATGAGAAATAAAACCTAAGGAAAGGATAAGTTAGAAGGATAAAACTTGTTATCACATAACCTCTATTATATGTCCACAAATATATTTGCAGTTTCAAACATTATATTGTGGTCTGGCTAAGTGATTTGATTCACTTAATTATAAGTATTTTTGAATAGGCTCCATCCTAGACACTGAGAACATGACTTGTATTGCAACTACACTACACAACTTCTGTGGCTATGAAAATTATAGACATGTCCTGTTCTCAGAGTGTTTATTTTCTAATAGAAAATATAGCAAATAAGTAAAAGTGATGGTAAGTTCAGGCAGGCAGTTGTAATGTAGGGATGTAACAGCCTAATGGGAAAAAGGAAAAGAACTGACATATTAGAAAGAGATTTCAGGGAGGTGTTTTGAAGTTGTGACATTTGAGGGGAAAATGCTAGTAGCGGAGAACAACTAGAACGTTCAATATCAAGTGCAAGGAGAAAAGAGTTCATTAACTTTGGATATGATAAGTGGTGCCACATTTTTTAGTTGGAAAATAGCAAAGTCCACTGCTTTAAATTGGGTTCTGCTGGGGTTGGGCAGATTTGACAATGAGCTTGAAAAACCTGGTCTAGTTTTTTGGCTGACTTTCTGAAAAAGAGGGTGTATTGTGGCTGCCACTTGACCGTACAGAACTCTGTCATTAAATCCTATAACAGTAAAAGCCTTTGGACTTGGTAATAATTAGGTTGCATCTGGCAATAGTAATGTGTCACTGTCTCATCCCATGAAGGACACCCCAGGGAAGATGACTCTGCAGTCAGCCAGCCAGCCTTGGAGTGAGGCTACGTCCAGGGTAGAATTTATCCAACTGATGGAGACTAAGAAGTTCTTCAAAGAGCAAGATGCTTTCTGTATCTGGGACATTTGTAAATCAGATCTAAGCACTGATTGTGCTCTGTGTAATTCTGAAGTTAATATTACAGAGAATGGAAAGGAATTCTAATAATTATATCTCTTTGACAATCTAACTTACTGCTTTATTATGTTCCTTGTCATTGAAGGCATTCTGAAACAAAAGGATATTATTTAGTAGGCAGATATAAGATAATTTATATGTCTTGAAAGAAACTTCACAAACTGGTTAACATTTGCCCACAATCTGAAATGTTGTGGTTCTCTCAGTCAAAGAGAATCTTTAGATTTTAGCATGTGTGAAAAGAGGAAGAGATGATAATGCTAACGAGAGAGGGGTCATAAAATAAGAGAAAGTGTGTGTGTGTGTGTGTGTGTGTGTATGTGTGTGTTGAATGAATCTGGGAGAATTGAAGAAAATGAATATTTGGCTTCATGTATCTGAGCACATTATGGTGGAAAGGGAAGACTGTTTATACTAGCATGCATTTTCTGGAGTCAGGAATGACTTAAGATTCAATGCTATTTTATATAGACACTTGTATGCTTTTCATTAATAAGCCATTATATATTGTAGAGATTCTATGTTGCAAAATCAATTACTTTGCTCTGTCAGTCATTTAACAAATCTTAAGATTTGTGTTACAGCTGTGTTCTGTGATTGTGCAGGGATAAAGTTAAAGTGATAGCCCCTTCTAAGAAGAATGATATATAAGCAGAGGCATAACAAATGAGGTGGATTTAGTTACATGAGAAGGAAAACAGAATTCAAAGAAGATGAATTTAGGATGGGAAGCAAACAAGCTGCCAGTTTTTGTTACAGAATCAGCTCCACTGGGAAACTTTTTAATCAATGGCCACACCCACAGAGTAATCCTAAGGTCTCTTGAGTAAGCTGTGTTCTCAAATATGGTAACCACTAGCCAATGTAGCTATTGGACAGTTGAGTATAGCTGGTCTAAATGAATTAATAGTCAAATGCATACTAGATATAAAATACTGTACCAAATAATGTCAAAATATTGATTATACATTAATTGATAATATTTTGGAAGCATTAGCTTAAAACATTGCACAACACTGATTCACCTGTTTTGAAAAATCTCTTTAAAATTTGGCAGAGTGGGTGGTAAGGGAGGGGTGGGGACAGGGGGGAGAAATGACCCAAGCCTTGTAGGCACATATGAATAATAAAACAATAAAAAATGTGGCTGGTGGAATGAAATATGAGGGTCAAGCACAACAAAACCAGCCAGTACAAGACATTGACTAGGCAGACACACCAGTGTATGCCCAGTAAAAATCAGTACGCGTAAGCCCTGTGAAGACCTTGTTATTGAGGTCCAAGAGCATGTAAGTCTGAGGCAGAAACCCAAGTGTTTGTGCGTAGACTTGAGGACACTCAGTAGAAACTCTTTTCATGATGTATTTAATAAATGGTGTCTTAGCTTGTTTTTGCTTATAAGTGCCTGAAACTATGTAATTTTGATAACAAAATTTATTTTTCAGAGTTCGGAGGCTGGAAGTTCAATACTAGGACATCTGTAAGGGGCTTCTTGCTGCATCATAACATGGAGGAAGGACAAAGAGAGGTAAAAGAACCAAGTGAGAGAAGAAGAGAGAGAGAAGAGAGAGAAGAGAGAAGAGAAACAAAGCCACTCCACATTAAAAAACAGCATTCATGTATTCTTGAGTGTGGGTACCTTGTGACCAAAATATCTTTCTCTAAGAAGTCCCACTTCCAATGCCAGCACATGGCAATTAAAATTTTAACACAACTTTTGGAAGGGATCAGTATTCAAACCAAGCCATGGGGTTTGATCAATTTCTATCTGTTACACATGAAGAAATGATACGTAACTCACAGCAAGTGCATAAAGAATTTAATATTTATTGAAGTTCTAAGTAAAAAGTTAAATTATTAAAGTACTAGAAGATAGTGTAGATTTTCATGAATTTTGAACCAGTTGCTAAGCACTGGTAACTTGAAAGCAGTAGTTCTAGGAGTATTCATACCATAGAAATTGTCAAATCTGACAACTCAGTCCCCAATCCCAGAAGAAACCATCAACAACAGCATAATACTTCTCTATCTCTCTAGTCATTGAGAAGAAACTAATTTTTTCACAAGTTTTATACAGGAATGTACTACTCATGTAGTGATAAAGAAAACACAAACAGAAATGCACAGAAATCAGTGAAGACTGACACAACATTCCTCTGTGTTCAGAGATATGAGTGCATATTGCAAATTTAATCCAAATTCTTCTGTACGTGAAACTGATCTCCTTCTGCAAAAATACCACTTCCACAAGGTGATACAAATTATGACAAAACAAAATGTATTATAGACAGTGGTAAAGAGCCTTGACTATATGCTCCATTACTTGTGCCCTGCTATAGACTTCATCAGTTATTAGCTGTTGGACCTTGACATGTATTCAGCTTGAGTTTCAGGATACTAAAGTTCAATAGTGCTAGTTCAGGGGTGCCAGTGCTAACGCCTGTAATCCTGGCTACTTAGAGGCTGAGATCTGGAAGATGGCTGTTCTAGCCATCCTGGCAAAAAAAAAAGTTTGCAAACCCCATCTCAATGGAAAAAAGCGGTTGTGGTGGCAAGTGTCTGTCATCCCAGCAATAGTGAGGCAAAATAGGAAATCTCATCCAGGCCAGCCTGCAAAAAGTGAGACCCTACCTCAAAAGTAACCAGAACAAAAGTGCTGGAGTAGCTCAAGCAGTACAGTACCTGCCTCACAAACGTGAAGCTCTAAGTTCAAAACCCCAGTACCACCAAAAACTAGTACTAGTTCAGCTTTGTTGAATATATCAAATAAATAAAGCATGCAAAACCTTACCACTGTGAAACCAGGACATTTTTATAATATTTTATTATTAGGTTCTAATTATGAAATTGTTGATTTTCAACTATTTTTATTAAAAGATAACAATTTCACAGATAACCTTCATGTTATCTATTAGTAATCATCAAAAAATTTGACAATTCATGTTTAATCATTGATCTCATTTTCTTATATCAAATACATAGGCATATTCCATGTGACATCTTTTGTGCATGTATCAGACATGTATTTCATAGATATAGTAAAGTATGTTGTAAAGTAAAATGGAATGTTTATCAGTATTTTAGTAACAAATGGTGCACTGTAGTAGAATAACTTGTTTCTGATGATGTGGTCTTGCCTTACTTTGTCATCAAATTTATTAATTACTTGAGAAGTTTCTACTGGATTTGGTAGAAGTCTGAGCTCATTAATGAAAACCTTGTTTTTATTCAGGGGAGTGATAATAGTAAATATTGCTTATGAAATTGCAGAGTGAATGTGTGAGGAAATGAAAAGATTGAAACGACTCCAAGTTTCATGTAGAGGATAGACACTAGCAATTTACTTTTCCTAAAATTCTTCTCTCTCTCCTCTCTCTCTCTCTTTCTCTCTCTCTCTCTCTCTCTCTCTCTCTCTCTCTCTCTCTCTCTCTTAATTGTTGTGCTGGGTACGGGTCATCCCTGAAGTTTTTAAGTTTGCATTTTTAAATCCAAATATCTTGCCCTAAATCTTTCTGAAAATGTAGGTTGTAAAAAATTCTTGAAAAATTAAATTGCCTGTCCAGTCACAG